GTTATTAAAGGATGAAATTTTTATTATTATTATACATAACTTACCTTACACGATAACTTCTGACTTAAAAATGTAACTTACATTTTAAAAATAACTTACAGTAAGTTATACAACCCTAACTTCGAACCACTTTTTTACAAAACAAGAATCATATAGCTCCAATTTAATTATGAACCACCTTCTGTGGTCTAATCAAAACTAACAACATTATATTGTTTAACTATAACGCGGTTTTGTTGGTTTTAATTTTATACCCAATTTTTTTACTTTGAAAACAAATTTGGTTTGACTATCAATTATTACGTTACACCTGATATTAAATTTGATTGGAGGGAGGAATAATTTTTGTTGTATAAATAAAATTATGCCGTGCTGTTTAAAAAAGATGGATTGATACATATAGAATATAAAAAGTGATATTTTCTATCAAAACACGAACCCACTATGCCTTTTACGATCTAGGTATGTTGCTAGAACCTGACAAATCTAGTATTAATACAAGTTTATACCGCCAAAAATGAATAGTTAATGATAAAGGTTGTTTGAATATACGCAGTAAAGCAAGAAACATTCCTAGTTATTTTTCTTTAAATTAGTTAATTGTCTACGGTATATGGTAATTTTGTATGGTCTAATAGACGGTGGCATATTTGGTCTTCTAGAAACGGCCTTTTTTTGATTAATGAAACGGTTCGTCCTCAAAAGTATGTACCTTAAAGGTATTTGCTATATATAACCAAGTCACCCGGGAAATTGGGTCAATGAATTTAGATCTTTTACCTTTTTTGTTGCAAAAATTTTGTGTGCATAACCTAAATCGTAGATCCAAACAAATAGGAAAAATGTATATATAAGATAGTATAACAAGGATTTAATAAAACTTTATGCGTTGAATGAGCTCTATAAACTTATCTGTCAATTTTTTGAAACCCATTATAAAAAGTTAAAATTTAAAGATTAGGGGGTTTTTTTTTTTTTTTGGAATCGCTGTAACTTTTTATGGAAGTATTTTTTCAAAAAACTGACCAATGACATGGTGATGCACAATTTCGTGTATAAAGTTATCGGTCAATTATTTAAAAAAAATTTTTCCGTAAGCCTTAGCGATTATATTTCCGGCGCAGTATATCTGGATATGGTTACGATCACGAGAAAATTGATAATCTTCCGTGATTGTCGATTCTAGATTTCCGGCATCATAATATTAATATATTCCGAAACTAAAAATCCTTGAATTTATATAATACATGATAACAATTTTAGAAATAGATTATGACGATTTAATACTTAATTTAAAAAAAATTGACTTATCATACGTATAAATTTACATTGTAAAAGAGGGTTAGATCTGCCAGATCTACATACTGTATATGGTATATAAGTTATATATGGTCGATTTGGAAGAAAGGCATATCGGACATATATTACAGATAGAGCAGAAGTGTTAGAAATTAGATAGTAACGAAAATGTACTTAAAGACCTGAAGATTATCTAAAATAAAGTAACACTCAGAGCTCTAACCTCGAAATAATAATAACAAAAGTTATCTCTAATCCCATTTCGTTAAAATCGTTTAAAATAAATCCGATCATCGTATTTCTTATCCCCGTGATTTTCGTAGACCCGATATCTTTGTTAATTAAAAAGCAAAAGAAGATCAATATTGGTAATTAGAACCCTTACATATTAAAAGCTAAATTGATTAAGTTTGTAATTAGCATCATTGTTATTAAATTGCAGTTTACCTCGAATCGTGATCCCGTGACATGTGATACTGAAATTAGAGACCGATAGTAAATTGGAGCCCAAGAGCACTTGGAAAGAAATAAACAATATAGAGAATTAGTGAGCATAAGTAGAGAAAAATACCACATAACCTAAATAATTCAAGTAAACAAACTAAATTACTTATTTTTTAGCTAATCCTCAGACCTACGCCTCAATCGAAGCCTTCTACATTAGGATGTAGAGCAAATTTTGGTAGCTATAGTGTTAGATCTTGTTTCATATTAGTCTTCACGGCTTTGTAAAAATACCTCAGGCTTAGATCTGCCCAAGCCATTTTATCCTTCATAACGTCCATTGCTACATAAGATTATAATAAATGAAATTTCTTTATAAATGATAAAGTCATAATTTCACATAATATCAATAAGTTATCTTAAATGTAAACCACAAAGGAATTAATCAAACCTATTTACTTGCTTAAGAAAAAAAATAAATATATAAGCTTTTTGTTGCGTCCTTAAACAATAATAGAACCCAATTTGACTTATTATTTCGAGATCCCGACACTTACCAAATGATTCCTTCATATATAAATAAAGTTTCGAAAGTTTTTAATATTATATTATTATTCCGGTGGTGTTATTATTATTATTCTGGGGTGTTATTATTACTTTCAAGCTTTTTTCTCGAACTCGTTGGATACACTTTTTGCAATTTAATTAGGAACTTTAACGTTTATATTCATTACTCATTGTTATTTTCTAGCTTAAAAATGGTTATAAGTGAAGTATACCTCGGTAGAATGGAATCCCAGTGATAAACAACGTACTTAAAACTCCGTCTGTTAAAGTCTTCTGTAGTATTATTAAGGCGGTTACATTTTTAAAAAGTTTGACATAAATATAAAAATTAACCAATCATTATAGATGTAACGTGGTCGTATTGTACATCATAGCCTTAATAGGATACAGTGCTCTTTAAATATATCAGCTATCCGATGAAATTACCTGTTTTGTACATTACAATAGGAATTTCCGAGGTTTCTCGAACCGGATTTGAGTTACCACATTTCGATGTAAATATATTATACACGAATTTATCGATTTTATATAAGGCTGCCAAAGTATTCAGAATCAATAACAGTATTTTTACTTGATAAGATGAAAATTAAAGATTGAACCGTTTAAACAAAGATCAAACCATTGAATTATATTAAATTATGAGGCAGAACTATTTATTCAATGCCGGTTGAATTTGATACGGTTAAACAGTTTAAGCGATCAGAAAAAGTTTAGGCGGTTACAACTAGTGTTTCAATATGCAGAAAAGCTTGGAAATTTTTAGATTTAAACAATTCTCAACCCTAGTGAAAAATGCCAGATACACAAGTCACGTGACCATATATAATTACCCAATTGTACTAATCATATTAACTGTACGTACATACATACGTACTAGGGAACTTATCAATTATATCGCTCACAAAACTGAATTTAGTAATAATATAATTTGGATCAATATTTAGAATTAGCAACAAGACAAAATTTATAAGCTAAATTCATAACTATCAACTGGGAAGATTATTGGAGAATTTCTATAAAGAATAGTTCCTTTGTTCGAGATTCACTCCTTGTCTATTGTTTCAGATATTGTTATGAAAATATTATAGTTGAATGTTACAAATGTTCTAGCTTCTTTACTTGCTATCATCCAAGGATATGGTGTTCATTACCTAATTAGGTGTTAACTTAAAAAATACCAAGCTGATAATCTAATTAGTAAGCCACTAATCTATTTGTATTCAGGGTTTATTGTGCCGCGTCGTACGCACCACGTACATTACATACATGGAATAATCTCAAAAATCTCCAGTAACATTTTAATTCTGAATTAAGTTCCTATCAATGAAAATTAGTAATTAATGGGACTCTCTGATCAGGTCCCAATCAATTTAGGAATTTTGTTTGGTTATCAAAATTTATTTTTTTCTATCTGTCATATGAAGATCAAATTGCAATTAACGAGAATCAACTTTCTGTGGAGATTCTTTCAAATTGCTCTATACAAAGTCCTTTTACATAAAGTCCTTCGGACCGAATTTTTTAAAATGAAATAGGAAACCTAGATAAAAAAGATGAATGTAAGGCCTTTTTATAAGTATCTTTGGTAAATTCTATAAAGCATTAGCGTATATGAAATTTATTATTTATGATTACTGTAAGCGCGAAAGATCGTACCTTTGGATATCAGATATGATACATCACGCGGAAAATTACAAATGAGTACTTTGGATATTATTCATTTTACATGTAATTTTCCGCCGGGAGGGGATAATTTGAAGATACTTGAAGTGTGAGTACTTTGAAATGGGGATATTATATTAATTCTATATAGTTATTAGAAGTATCTTTATGAAAAATTTATTTCACCATTTAGATTCATATTAGACCTGAGTTCGCTAATTATATGCTTCAATGAAATAAAGAAAACGCGTCATACGTTACTCAATACTTGGTAGAACGCGTAATTAGGTTTGTTCTTTTTTTTTCTCAGGTGAATATCATATACAATGCGCGTTTTTTAAGTTTGTCGTCATTCAAACTCTAATATTTATACGTTATATATTTTATTCATTACATGATTAGAATAAATAGTTGATTTTATTGTGCAAAATAATCATTACATCATTTTGTTCATTACGGTGCATTTGTAAACTACCCCTAAATCCAAAAAAATTTGGACTATTTATGTAATACTGGTTTTCGACTGTGCTAATCAACATCCCCAAGTTAGAGTGCATCATTATTTATAAATTCTATGCCTAATGAGGTATGTTGAGATGGTTTATAGTGGGAATATGGGTTAGACGCGTTATCAACATAGATCAAAGGTTCAAAAAATTTTTCGGGGTTTAGCTTGGTTGATTTGGTAACTAAGATTTAATTTTGGGGACCAAATGCTTAGATTTGGTGACTAATTGTCTGCTTAATTCTGCAAATGCACCGTAATGTAGTAATTTTTACGCTTACTTGCAAAATGAACTAACTGTACATTTAACATTATCAATAATAAATATCAATGAAAAAGGAAATTGATATAAAAATATATAAATTAAAAAAAAACTCAATTATTCGATTAAATTACAGTCATACGATTTTTTGGCAAATTGATCATGGGAAATCATTCCCATTATCAAAAAAAGTTTTACTTATAAATAGGCACCATTCAAAGGTCTGCTCCTTGAGCAATCCATAGGCGATTTATGAAACCCATGCCATCCGAATCCCCAAGCTCATCATACTCGTGCAGTATAGAAACTCTGAGAACTCAAATGCCAAGTATATCAGAAATAGAAGAGTTTGACATTGGAGAACTGTCAAAGAACAAACGTAAACCTTTAAATGCCTTCATGATTTATAGGAATGAGTTTAGGAAACGTGCTCTTGCTAATGGCATGAAAAAAAAGATGTCAGAACTCTCAAAAATGGCCGGTGAATCCTGGCGAACCGAGCCGACAAAGGTTAAAGCCGCCTATACGAGAGTTTCAAGACAAATCGATAAAATTTTCCAAAGAAGGAGAGAAGAGCAAAAAATATTCAAAATCGTCTATGACCCCAAAATGGGGGTTCCACAGGAACAAGAACACGACGTAGCTCCTCATCAATCTATACCGGCTGACGATTATATGTACTCACTGAACGTTGACGCAATACCGATACCATATTTTTGTTCAGATGACATTATTTGGTAATTTTTATATATGCATATGTGGGATTAATATGAATTAAATTTATAATATATATATTATAACATAAGTTTGACGTTATAAGATTATAAGATTTTTAATGTAAAAAAAATTTTTACGCTAATTTGTAATAAATGATACATTTTTTAAATATTACTTTTAATAAAGAAAAAGTTAGTCGAGCTATTGAAGTATATCTTTATTGATCATATTTTAGTTATCTAACTGATTCAGGTTTGTTTTTTTAATTATCTGATTAATTCAATTTTACTTTCATTTATAAAGAGAATATCTTTACTAATTTTATTATCTAATTGATTAAATACAATTTTTAATTAGAATTAGATATAATTAATTAAAACTAGTTGTAACTTTTAATTAGGATTGGTCACACGCTTGACTAGAATTATTTTTAGCAATTTTGACTAAAATTAGAGTTGTAAAGTTGTAATTTATATTTATTTTATACAGCATATAAAATATATTTAAAATTATTAATAATAAAGATATTATATATAAATATATACAACAAAAACTCTTTCCGGTTCACCCCTGAAAATCATTGACAATAGTAAAAAGTAAACAAAATCTTTGCAAGTTTTTAGT